AGAATTTTAGCTACCAAGGTTTCTAAAATAGAGATATTACCAAAGACCTTTTCAGGTCATAATCCTGTAAGTTTGGTTTGTAAAAGAAAATCCAGTTCTTTTATATGAGGCTAAATGAAAAGTTACAGAAAGCAGAAAAGAAATTGAAAGAATTTTTTTTTAAATAACATAAAGTGCTGATTTAAGAATGAGTTGAGGTGCAAGAAAACCTTTTATCAGAAGTTATTTTGTACAACATAATAGGGAACTCAAAAAGAACAGGCAAGAGAAAACACAAGCTATTTTGATTGAGATAAAAAGAATTAAAGAAATTTCTAGAGAAAATAAGTATTTCTCAACAAATTAAGCTTTTACCTTGATAGTTATGTAGGTTAGCAATTATAGAAATAGAAGAACTATGTAAAGGAATAAACAATGAGTTTGCTACATAAATGGTTGGCATATAAATTAAGAAAGGAAAAGGAAAATAAAATTATATTGACACAGCAAGAGAGAGACATTGTACTAACGGATAGTATGGATATTCAAAAAGTATTTAATCAATATTATTCTAACCTGTATAAAACAAGTGACAACTCTTTGGTGAAGATAGATGAATATCTAAAGAAACAAAATTTACCGGGGATTATAGAAGAACAGAAACAGATTATGAATCGATTTTAACTATAAATGAAGTTTCTGAAGCTGTAAAAAAGATTAAACCAAGAAAGGTGCCTGGACCAAATGGATTACAGATTCTTATTATAGATGTTTTAAGGATGAACTTTTATAACTTTCACAAAACATGGTGAACTAGTCTACAGTATCTCACAGGAAAGAAAGATGCCAATATAGCACTAATACCTAAAAAGAGACAAGATTTGACTGTAACAAGAAACTATGGCCTATGTCATTACTGAATAATGATTACAAATTGTTTACAATGATTTTGACTGATAGACTGAAAACAATTTTCCAAGAATTTATTCATGGGTCCAATGTGGGTTTTTACTTAAAAAACAATCAGCAGTATAGCTCACAGAGCAGAAATGTAACATGGGCATACCACAGCATTACCATAACTGCCTGCACTACTGTATGCTAGACCAGCTGCAACTTTCAAGTGGACCTCAATAAGAGTACCATGTAGAACGTGCTGTAATAGTCCACTATTACAGTCCAATAGTCCATGTGCAATGAGCAAGGTATGAATAACTATCTGGGGATCCTCGTGGTCCAGAAACAGGCATGATTGGTTCACAGAAGGAAGCCTTTCTGCCCATATTTGCCATCTGGTCTCCAAGCAACAGTTCTGTATCCCAAAAAAAAATCTCAAATCGCACATCTGTCCTGAACAGAGAAGTGAGATCCCATTCAGGGTTTCTGATATGAAGTCTCTGGTGCTAGGTAGACTAAACACCTACAGATAGGAACTTATCAACTAGCCTTTTCCGTGGTTGTTACAAGCTTTACAATTCCCTGTGATGGAGATCAGGCACATTCCCTCCCTGTTATCCACTCACTAGCAAGAAAATCTTGTTTTCTTTCTTTTCTTTTTTTTAAATCTGGTCAGTCTTTGGTGAGTAAGCAAGGTTGGGAGCTGAATCAGGCTTAAATTGGTTGGGTGTAGTCTCTGCTAGTGATGCTTTTAACAGTGTTTCCTATGTTTTAAGAGTATTCTTAGTGGCTGGTTTGTTGTTTCCTGCCATTTTTTAAAATTTTGATTATGAGCTTTCTTCAATGCCTGTTTTTTTGCCGGAAACTCAAGGTTCACAGTCAGTCACTAAAGACATACAGTATTTGGGACACCACATTTTGGCTCTCCATCCAACAGGTTTGCAGAAGTAGTCTATAGCAGCGGTTCTCAACCTATGGGTCGCGACCCCATTTGGGGTCGATCGACCATTTCACGGGGGTCGCCAAGCAAGGCTGTCCGCCATTTTTTTCCCCTTTTCCGGCGGGTGCCTTACCTCCCTTGAGCTGGGCCAGCTGGTGGTCAGCCTGCTCTGTCTCTGCCGCTTGCCAGCTACGCCTCGGCCGGCGCAGGGGGCAGAACCACGCATGTGCGGCGCTCCCGGGCAGGGAAACTCCTCGACTTACGACCGGTTGGGTAGTCCTCGACTTATGACCAGTTTAGTCCTAGACTTACGACCGGTTTAGTCCTCGACTTACGACCGGTTTAGTCCTCGACTTACGACCGGTTGGGGTCGCGGCATTAAAAAGGTTGAGAACCATTGGTCTATAGTGATAGCAATTTCTCCTTAGCGGCCAGAAAGAAGAAAGCCAGAATGCAAGAGAAGTATTTCTGCTCTGCATTATGCAATATATAAAGTGAAAAATACAGCCTGCTTTGCAAGGTGGCTTCAGAAAATGGCGTCTCAGTGTATCAGAAAGACGTACAGTACTCGGAGGTCTATGATGAGAAGCAATTATCTGTAACCCTTCTTTATCAGGGGCTTGCAAAAAATAATTGGGATGTTCCTTGGGGACCCTTCCCTGAAACTCTGTTTTTAAGCTTCATCTGAGAGAGCCTGACTGTATTCTGAAAGCAAATACTACTTTTAACAATAAGGCTCAAAAGCAGACTTTCATTATAGCGAAGGAGATCAATGGTTTTGTATTCAAGTTAGGTATGCTTATTCAGCTTTCCAGGTTTGGGAAAACAAAGATCAGAATTTAATATTAATATTTAATATTAGCCGTGGAACCTTGCTCATTAAAAATGTTGCTAGTTGGAGTCCACCGGGCATATAATTTATCAGAGTGTGCATCAACTTGAATATACTGCATGCAATCCTTTTAATTAGAAACTGAACTGGAGCGAGAAGACAGACTGTCTCCTAACTCCAAAATTATCATATTCCTATCAAGGACTCAGTATGCTTGAGTAACCTGTAATTAGGGACAAAGGTTAACACATAATTTTATATGTTGAATAACCAGTTATATTCATGCCATTATTCAAAGGCAGGACTTGCTTTCCCCAGCAGGCTTGTAAGCATGTAAGACAGAAAGAAAGTCTCCAACTCATATTAGGTCAGATGAGTAAATGGAGGAGGAACTGAAATGATTAATCTGACTTCCAATAATTATATAACTGTTTCAGGATTATTATTTTTTCCAGTATGCATTTATTTGCACTCCAAATTTGAATATTTCATTTTTTCAGTTTGACAGAGATTTATACGTAACTATTTCAACGTCTCTTCCGTGAGGTTTCACTCATAAGCACTTTCCAACCTGAAATTAAGAATGTCTGGGGGGTTTTTTTGAGGGAGGGGAAAAGGTCAGCATGAAATCAACTGCACCAACTTGCTCTCCCTCCAGGGTGATGTATCGAGTTTTATAGATATCTCCATTGTTATCAATTGATAATACACATACCCCCCCTTTTTTTCCCCACATGCACTTTGTTTATTTGACATTTGAATGCTTGTTTATAGCATTGGTGACTTGTGAGATTGGCTTTATGCCTTGGATACTTCCATGCATATTAAACCAGGACCAAACACTTCCTCTGTATTATTTTCACAGCTTAAATGCTTCCTTAAAGATGCAATTAAGCAAATAGATAACATGGGTGGATATAACATGGGTGTATACTTTTCAATCAAATTATCTGGCCCAGCTTTCATCCATAGGAACAAACACTAGACAATATGATACAGATCTTCGGCAGCACATTTATATTCACAAAATACCAGATGAAATGTAATTAGCTAGTTTGCTACTCAAGGATTATGTTTGCATGACAATTGTTTGCATGGCTGTATTAACCACTGGTTTACTCAGTTAAACTTGGGTACTGTACATAGAACTCATTAAACCATAAATTTATTACACAGGCTATATTCATGCAACACAGCAGACTAAAATTTGGTAGGCTAGTTTGTGAGTAAAACTAGTTACTATGTTGTGTAAGCCTTCTCTATGAAAAGTAATTATATATGTTGATAAATTACATACTGCCAAGTTTTAATATATCTTAGCATTATTCCCGCTCTACGGTGGGGTCCATATTTGTCTCCATTTAGATCGATCCAGGGCATCTTCAGGGATGCCATCCATGCATTTCATGTCCTCCTTGATGTGAGCCATTCACCATCCACCGATTTTTGGCATCAGGATCCAGACGCATGGCTGTCCTCGTCACTGAGTCTTCTTTACTGCGTCCATGCCTTTCTTCTCACATTTTTGCTACGATTGGTGTGACTCCCAGTTAACATCAGATGTCATCGTTCATGATGTGGTTGAATCGCATTAGTCCAAGATACCTTCGGAGACTTTGCATTTCCATCACGTGAGCATCATGCTTTGCTGTCACTGGCCAGCATTCCAATTTGAAGAGGGCAACTGGGTGCATTATTGTTATGTAAATCTTTGACTTGAGGCATAGGGGCATCACACAGGACTCCAGTCACCTAGGGCCACTTCATCCAAGTGGCACTGATATGGGCGTGGACATCTGGAAAGCTATCGCTGTCACTGGATATGAAGGAACCAAGATTCTTGAATTGCTCTATTTCCTTCAGATCTTCTCCATCAAAGCGGATGGTTTCATCGGTTTGGGGGGCGCAGTCCATATATTCCGTTTTCTTGATGTTCAGTCAAAGACCAAATTCTCAGAGGCATTCATTCTATTGCCACGTTTGCTCTTGGAGGTCTTCACATTGCTCATTCGCCAAGAAGACGTTTTTGGCAGAGAAGCGATCATGGATGAGGCGATTAGAGATCAAGCGTCATAGTACCTATGCAAAGAACAAATAGGGGTGAAAGTGCCAGTGTTTGATGTACTCTGATGTTGATGGCGAAGGGAGGCAATGTTCCCACTGCACATCAGATCATGCTAGTGACACTATGGTACAACAGTTGAATCCACCAGATGTAGACTTCAAGGAGATTGTGGGATCATAGGATGTGCTAAATAGGTTTGTGTGGGACACGATCAAAGGCCTTTTCCAGGTCAAAGAATACCATGTGGATGGGCTTGGTCTTCTCACAAAAGCAACCAAGCACTGTGAATGGTGTCCATCATTACCTTTCAGAAAGCCACATTGATTCAGAGTGATGGAGATAATCCTGCAGAGCCTGACATCGATAACCTGTTCAAATATTTTCATGATGTGACACAGGAGCCAAATCAGATGATAATTCGAGTATTCGGCATGTCACCCTTGCCCTTCCAAATTGGAACCATAGTACTGGTTGCAAAAGTTACCAAGGCTGCACCCTCAGATCCAGAATTTGACTAGATACTACCACTGATACAACTGAGGTACTCCAACTCCAACCGATGTGTCACTCCATCTGTTGTTGAAGGCACTTTATACCTACTGCCAGGTATTAAGAGGTCGCTCTACTGGAAAAGACACTTTTGCAGCCGCTTCACTGAAGTATAGACACTGCTAAGTGAAGATAGGTGCAGCCCTTTATCTGCCATTGGGACATAGGGTCCTATTCCGCCTTCAAAACCATTGATCATCTTCTCCTGTAACCCTGGCAAGGGGCCCTTACAAAGTGCTACCAGCTGGGCCAGCTGGACCAAGGTTTTTTTAAAAGAGTATTATTCCTCCATCATTCACCCTTTGTCCTGGCTTGTGACAGGCAGAGCCTGGTTTCCAAAACTTTGGGCCCAGAATAGTGGGTTTCAAGTTTCAATATATTGATTGCTATAAAAGAATTAAAACTCCATATGAACATAGGTTGAAAAGAACAGTTGCTGGAATTGGGTATGTTTAATTTAATGAAGAGAAGGACAAGGGGTGACATGATAGCAGTGTTCCAATATCTAAGGGTTGCCACAAAGAAGAGGGAATCAACCTCTTCTCCAAAGCACCTGAAGGCAGGACAAGAAGCAATGGATGAAAACTAATCAAGGAGAGGAAGCAACCTAAAACTAAGGAGAAATTTCCTGACAGTGGAATAATTTGCCTCCAGAAGTTGTGACTGCTCCAACACTGGAAGAGATTGGACAACCATTTGTCTGAAATGATATAGGGTTTCCTGTCTGAGCAGTAGTTTAGTAATTCAAATTCTGGTATAATGACCATAAAAATAAGTTTGCAGTATAAAAACCAGGATTTGGAAAAACTAATTTCATATTGACAAGTGCAGGAGAAAGTTTGCATAATTAATATCTATGATTTGAAATTTTTAATTGATAAAGCTGACAATATATGAAATAAATGCACAAAATGTAGTGTATTACAGAATATAATTCTGATAACACATTTCCAACAGCAAATGTATATTTTTGACTTCTTTAGTAGGAAAGGGAAACAAAATTGTTATTTGTTTTTATTTGCACCTGTTCTATAATTTGAACTGCATCTGTAAAATAGTAATATGCAGGAAAGGTAAAAATTGATTACTAATTATAAAACAATGCTGCATGTTAAAAGTACTACAGGGGCCAGATAAGAAAATAACTATACATTTGATAGTACGGTATCTTTGAACTGGTGAAATCAATTTCTGCTCTCAGGAGAAGTAAAATCATAAAAGAAAGAAAAAGAACATAAAAAGACATAATCTTCTATTTAATTTCTATTATACACAGTGTTCAATCTAAAGTATCACAACAATAATTGTTTGGAAAAAGTGTATCAGTATCTTATAGTGAAACTAGTTGTTAGTTAGCTTTAGGATCAAATTACATTTGTATTTTTTCAGATTATTTCTTTACCTTAATGTTTTTAGCTGCCTTGAATATTCACTGCTTGCCAGAAATGTGGATTATAAATGGCCTAAACGAATGTAAATAAAATTTAGCCAAATATAGAGAGACAGCTATGTTTGGATTGTAGCTGTAAAATAATAAGAGCCATTGTACTCTTCCTCGCTTACAATATTGCTGCAAGGAGGTGATTGGAGGTATCTGTTTATTTTAAATTAAACCCAGTTTATTACTTTGCATTTTCCCAAGAAAGCCAAATAATACACCACTGTTATTGATAGACCATAATTTAAACCAACTGTAGTCCCTTGTTCAAACAAAACTGGTTAATGTATAAATAGAATTAGAGGCTTTTGATCTCTAGCAGAAATAAGCAGCATGCATTTCTCTAACTCTCACTAAACTTCCAATTCCCAGCACTTCAGTTTATAAGGCTAATGGTGACATATGCCAGGACTTGTAGTTCACGAACATCTGGCAGAGAGGGGTAAGGATTTCTCCCGATTAAAGCAGCTGTAATGGAAAGAGGGGGGAGATTCACACACAATATAAACTTGGGGGTCTCTAGTACCCAGTGTTTCTTAAACTTTTTTTCTCTCAGGATTTGCTCGTTGTTTTTAAAAATATTTGGAGGACACCAAAACAGCTTTCTGGTTTGCATGAGTTTTTTTTGTCAATATTTACCATATTAAAATTTTAGAAATATGCCTCTGCTGCTGCTTGTCATGATTGGTGGGATTTTAATATTGTATTATTTTTCAACATAGGCTGCAAATAATTTTGATTTTGCAGGTGTCTGAGAGGAGGATCATGGGGGAGCCTTAGAACCCTGCTTTAAGAAACGTTGCTCTATCTTAACTAGGCCTCTCTGCTTTTAACTAACCACGGCCCTACACTTACCCGCACTTTACGTTTTTAAAAAAATATCCTGGAACGTTTGTTGCGGTGGCTTTTGCTAAATTGCCTGTGTCCAATAGTCATTCATCCATTCCTTCACTCCAAATAAACATTTCTACTTTGCATTTCCAGCCATCATCCCTTGAAGACAAGTTGGACTTCGATTTAAGAGCCACACAGCTTAAAAATCTTCAAAAACCTTTAAGCAGAAAGAGGCCCGTGTTATTACCAACCTCGGAACCCAAAAGCAAGAGGTCTCGTTTCCCGGGCGGTAGTTGTTTCCGTTGCTCCCCGGCATCTGGCAAATTGGTTGCTATGGCGCAGTCGCGATGATCGCTAACCCGCGAAACGGGTCGCGCGATGGAGGAAGAGGACGCGGTGAGGTTGGGGGGGGTGTAGCTGGGGATGGCGGCTTTCCAGCAACGGACGCGACTAGGAAGCTCATATTGCATGTTAAAGGGGGGGGGGGGGGAAGGGGGGGAAAATAATTTATTCATTTGCGGACAGATAATGCCGTAGGTGGGATCTGGTGTTTTTTTTTTTTTAAGCACGATTCTTGTATCTGCAACAGCCCGTCGGTAGCTATTTGGGGGCTGATTGCTTTTTTTTATTTCCCCGCCAAGCTGGAGGAAGTTTAATTGGTTGAATTCAGGACTCTTTTGAGAGGAAAGACACAGCTCGAGGATATATTTAACCTAGGAGTTACGATCTGGATGTAAAACTGAAAGATCAAGTTGCAGCAGTAAAAAGGCACAGCATACTTTCTTAACGGCCATCTAACGATAGCCTGGATCTCATCATTCCTGTTGGTATTTCCATCCCTCTGTAAGATGGGATGTTGGAGCTGCCAACCTCTTCCCATGCTGCTGTTCCTTGAATGATTTGGCTCAGGGAAAAGACAATAAAATTTGCAACACTCAAAACTGTGTATATCTGGGTGATGAAGTTATGCATCTTAATGGTGGAGAGGAGTTGATTATTCCCTCCCCACCATTTTATGCCCTTCCCCAATTGTGCTACAAGTTTGTGGGTTTGCAAAGCAAAGAAGCACAGTTGTGAGTTAATATTTAGTAGTTGAATAATAGTGGTAGTGCTTTGTTTTTATAAAATAATCTCTGCAAGAAAGGGGCTTTTTGTCTAGTAAACATTCATAGGATTGTATGTCACAAAATCAAGTGCAATTTTATTCATGCTTAGTTGAAGGAAACAGCCCTGAATTTATTTGCAGATATGCAGTTTTAAAAGCCATGTTACATACAAATGGTATATTAGGGTTAAATAGAGTGCTTGCTATTATATGCTGAATTTTTTTCTTAAATATTTATTGCATTGTGCATTTGAATAGAATGAAAAGTATGGATATTTTCTCATTGTTTTAGAGAGACTACAATGAACCTTGTGGATATTGTTCTGCTGTCAGCTGGAGCATTACAGAAGAAGGCAGATTTTACTGCACATCTTGCCACACTGTCATAGAAGTAAGGTTGCTGTTATTTATTTTCCAATTTTAAAACTCACCTTAAGTTTAAGTGTAAATTTTTAAATATCAATATCAAAGACTCCAAAGCAGTATATGAACTTCTTAAATAGTTGTAGACCTAGTCTAGTTGTTTTAGCTGTAGTGTAAAAAGGCCGAATAATTTTGGGCATATGTATTAAAAATACATCTTTTCAAAACTTGCAGAAAACTAGAGAAGTTCAAACTACTGATGTTACTACTAATGCAAGGGCACAGTCTATCTCTAGAGGATTAAGAAAAAAGAAGAATAAATTTGGTAAGATTTATTTTTTTATCAGTTTGTTATAAAAGTATCAAATATTGATCTTTCCCATCATATATAGCTAGTGCTGAACAAGTTTACAGCCTTCTCATCCAATATGGTATGCTTGTTTAAATCAGTTCTTCTGTGGGTTATAGGTTTATTCATAGCTGGAGTTTTAGCATCAATTTAAGAAACTAATCCTCTAGACCAGGGGTTCCCAACCCCCGGTCCTGCAGCCTGGTAGTGGGCTGTGGCCCATTGAAAACTGGATTGCACAAGCAGTGGGTGAGCACACATGTGCCATTTTTGGCAAGCGGCAGGTACAGGCACAAAACCTTCCCCCTCCCTCCACCACTGCTGGTCCTCAGAGCTGGAAACTTGGGGATCGCTGCTCTAGACACTTGGTTGCACAGTGATAAGAATCCAAAATCGATAATTTACATGGATTCAACTTTATTGTGTTTTCTAAAAGTCATGTTTTGCAAGACAACCTTTCAGAATCTTTTTTTTAATTTTCAAAATTGAGGATATGTGTTTCAGGATCAATACTGTTAAAAGCGCATTAGGACTGGTATTTATTAAAAAAACACAACTATAAGAAGAGTATACAGAGTAATAATAGATTCAAGCATGCCAAATGTATTCAAACAAAACATGTAAATTGATTATGGCTCCTCCAGATTATAAGAGAGAGCGCCAATCTGGATCTAAATGGTTTTCTCTACCCTTGTTCTTTTTTTAAAAGAACAAGACTGCAACTTTTGCCGTTTTTGTCAACCTCTAACATTTTCTAGGGCATAAAGTATTTTACTATTCACTTGTAACAATTAAAAACACAGAGCAATACTTATATTAATTTTTATAGTGCTAATGGATACACAGTGAGTTATAAAAAAAAGTGTCCTGGAGAAAATGGATTATCTCAATCCTTTTCGGTTGTGTTTTAGATCAGAATATAGATAGTTCTCAAGTTAGGATAGCAATAGGGAGTGGAACAGTCATCGCTAAGCAATGCAGGGAATATTGGCAGTTGTGATCACATCAGGGCAGCTTGCTGTGACAACCAGAACTCAGGACTTATCACAAGTCTCCCTTGTGCAAGTTTGAAAAGTCACTGAATAAGCAATAATAAGCTAAGGATCACCTGTATTAGGTGAAACAGCACTGTCATGCTTTTCAGTGACTTCTATTGGAGGGGGTGGTGCAAGGGCCTTAATTCTTGATTGCTAAAGACTCTTCAAGGCCTTTAACACTTGATCAAGATATCCTTCTGGACCACCTGCAGGAATGAGGTGTAGAAGATGCTGGTACATGGGTTCTCCTTTCTTCATGGTTGCTTTCACATGTTTCAGATATTGATGGAAGGCAGAGATTGGGCTTAGCGCCCCTGAGAAGTAGAGTGCCACGAGGCTAGATACTTTTGCTCCTTCTGTTTGAAATCAGTATGAATCTGCTGGATAAAGTCATCTGTCACTTTGGGATTGGGTATAACAGTATGCTGATAGTACACATCATGTAGGATTTTTGGCATGATGCAAAATTGGTTTGTCATTGTCATCTTCTAGGTCTATCTGGTGGGTAGATGACTGTGCAATTTATCTTTGCTTCTTTTCAGTATTTGTTTAAGAACCCATTCTTCAAGTTTCTGACTGATATAATTTGATACCTGACAAACATAAGCTACTCGTAGGATTTCACTTTCTCTTAATTTTCAGATAAAGGCTGGGACTGGTTCATATGTGAAGGCTTTCAGTGTATTCTTCGAAAACAAGCTGAAGCTCTGCAGTCTTTAGGAGTTTCTTCTCAGATGAAGGTATTTTGCTCTTTTCAGTAATCACAGTTTGCTTAACTATTTGAAAAATAAAGCACTTTTCTAGGCTTACACATTCGGCTACTATGCCTGGATTCCTGCAATACACACTAAGTCAGGGGTGTCAAACTCAATTTCATTGAGGGCCGCATCAGCATTGCAGTTGCCCTTGAGGGGCCGGTTGGGTGTCGCCAGGGTGGGTGCGGCCTACTGGGTGGGTGTGGATGGAGTGGGTGTGGCCTACTGGATGGGCATGGCCAGCTCTACATCGTTCGCGTCAAGGGTGCCTGTGGGGGCCTGGGCAGGAGTGGGACAGATCTGAGGGTCTCTGGCAGAAGGGGGTGGGACCAGGGAAAGTGCCAAGGCATGGTCCACTGGAGGAGCCTCACTGTTCCTCTCAGGCCATGTGGAGGGGGGGCTGGATGGTGGTGTGGGTTGCCCGGAGCCCTGGGCAGCAGAGGTCAAATGCCCAGCTTGGCCCTCGAGCACCCGTGTCACCAAGCCCAGCCCCACTTCCCCAAGGGGGTGCCCAGCTGCACTTACCTCTGCTGCTGCTGCTGTGCTTGCTCTCCTTAACCAGGTTGTTCATGATGGGTACCAGGGCAAAGTCAGAGGGAGACTGAATGCGTTTCAGCATAGATGGCCACCACAAAACTGTACATTGGCTCCCGGCTGGCCTGGGCCAGGGCCAAGGCAGTGGGGGCCGTTCCCTCACTGTTTCCAGGATGGCTTCGTGGGCCACATGAAACCACTTCGAGGGCTGCATCCAGCCCCCGGGCCTTGCGTTTGACATGTCTGCACTAAGCAAACCAAAATATAAAAAGCCTACATAATGGCTTTGTGGGTTTTTTTATATATATAATATGGAACCTTGATTTAGAATAAGAAGGAAAAAAACCTACCAACTATCTATTATGCACATTTCAGGTAATTGATAACTTATGTGAAGGATAAAGTTTTCCTAAAAGCTCTTTGTATTACAATTATTATTTGATGTTTCGGGTGGTAATATTTATTATTAGGTTTGGAGACTGCCCAACTCACAGAAAACTGTGCGGTTTACAGTAAAAACAGAAAGATCAAACAATAAAAAAGCATCCATGATACAATGATATGCTAGTTACTGGCAAAAGAATTGCATAATGTAACATTCATTCCTCTTACTATATTAATGCATTTATTACCTAGTGATACACATCTAAAACATTAATAGGTATAAAGTAAAAATGATATGTCCCCTAACAATTTATTAGTTAAGACGTATCAAAGCAAAAATAAAATTTAAAACAAAGGTAATATGTTTTTAATCAATGCTCCAACACTGGAAGTTTTTAAGAAGAGACCGGACAGCCATTTATCTGAAATAGTATAGAGTTTCCTGCCTGAGCAGGGGGTTGGACTAGATGACCTCCAAGGTCCCTTCCAACTACTACTACTACTACTACTACTTCTCCTTCTCCTCCTCCTCCTCATCATCATCATTATTATTATTATTATTATTATTATTATTATTATTATTATTATTATTATTATTATTATTATTATTATTTCTTAATGTTCATCCCAGCAACATAGTTTAGCTACTGCACAGGAAATGAATGGTTTTAGATCCTGAAGAAGAAGGTACACATAAGATTTATCTGGCCTCCCAGGGAATTTATTAGGGGAAAAACGTAAATTAACAAACTATCAAACCCTGGGCATCTACCCTAAGGCCAGGCCTGGGAGCAGAACCACATTTTTAACAACTTGAAAAACAGCTGTACAAATCTTCAGGGGATGCTCTTCTAGAGGGCAAGTGCTGCCCAGGTCCTGATAGATTCGATTTAATTGATTGGACCTGGAATGTATGTACTTTGCTTGATTTCACTGGGAAGTCAGAAATTATCTGACATAGATGGACCCTGAAATAAACAGGCCTTGATAGTGACTAGGCCCATGAATTGAACCCAGAAGCCAACTGGCAACCAGTGCAGTTCATGAAGCAGGTCTGATATATAACCAGAAAATGGCATATCCATTGCTACCTGTGCCATCACATTCTGGACCAGCTGTAACTTCCAAGTGGTTTTCAAGGGCAACCCCATGTAGTGTAATCATTTTAGTAAAGGAGTTGAGAGATGGTTGGGACATGAGTGACTGAAGGACCTCCCAATTAAGAAGTATGTAAATCTTTTAAAATTCATGGGCTAATATTTATTTACCAAACTTAGAGACTACCCGTTTCATTTACAGAGCAACTCTGGGCAATAAAAAATAAAAACAGAAATACTAATGCTTTAAGTGAGCTTATTGCCCATCAATATTTTCAACCAATTTGAATTATTGAGTGAGGAATATTGCAAACTAGCAATACCGTATATCCACTTTTTCCCTTTTTATATTTTCCCTTTTTTTCTTTCTTTCTGTATTAAAATATTAAAATCTATACTTTAACGTGAGTTCTACGATATAGATAACCTCATCAAAATGGATGAATGAGAAAGCCTCCTGTGTACTAATATTAATGAATAATGTGCTGGTTCTTATCAGGATGAAGTTCTGTATAATTTTTGGAGACGATATCTTCACAAGAGCAAACAGGCTTCTAGCGAGAAGCCTCTCGGTGATGTTACTCGTGATAGTTTATCTGTAAGTATATCATTCAAGAGAAATAATAACTACCTTCTTTACACTTATACAGTTATATAGCACTTATATAAAGATATTACACCCAAAGCTTAAATTACAAATCACGCTTTCCTTGCAGTTCCTTGAAAATGTATATTTGCTGCTATCTTTGACAAAATAAGCTAATTTTATAGTAATTTTTAACCATTCTTAAATATTCTGGTTTTCAGAACATTTTCCTTACTGAATAATAGTTATTATGTGTTTCCACAAAGTGGCTATTAGTTCAATGTAGTAAAAACAGCAATGCGTGTGATTTCTAATTAGTAACAGGTATTAAACCACAACCTTTTGTGTACATCCACTGATGTAATTAATGGATGGGTTGAAGTCCATGAAAATTTACCTTGTCACATAGTTTATCATCCTTTAAGATTCCACAGCGCTTGCTTTTGCTGTTACTTTTTAAATATATTGCTACTTTGATGAAAGGTACAGATAGTTCTTAGTTAACTACCACTTTGTTCAGCAACTGAAATTGCCACACCACATGTCCTCAAAGTTCTAGGTGTTCCAACACTCATGTTCGCATGATTGTGAACCAACTCACACGTAACAATGATTTGCATTTGTTAACTTTGCCTGCTTCCCACAAACAAAACCAATGGGAAGTTGGCAGGGAAAATCACAGGTCAGGCCTGTAAATCGCTTCCATTGCTTTTCCTCCTGTAGCATGTGCTCACTCACAGAACTCCCCATCCATGCTCTGTAATGTACACACGTCTAACACTTGTGTGTCGCAGCCCCTTTCCCATACTGAACTTTATCACTGACTTTCTGGGGAATTTTGCAAATAGCAATCACATGATCACAGGGCACTTGGCAACCAGTTGTAAATGCAGACACCCGAAATGCAGTCATGTGATTGGGGGAGGGCAGCACAATGTTTTACGACACCTGGGAGTGCTTTATGGATTGTAAAACAGGTATTACGACTGTCAGTTACAATTACAGTTACAATAATTGATTATAAGTCAAGGACTACCTATAGATGGGAAGAGTACCGCTGTGAAAGAGCATACACGCTCTTATTGTAATTCAGTAATTCAAGCATAAACTACATGTAAATGTGACTGCATGAGATTACAATCCTTGCTTACAGACTATTCATTTGGCCGCTGTTCAAAGTTATGACATTGCTGAAATTTACGATCTTCAGAATCCCTCAATCACATGATCACCCTTACAGTCAGTACATAATGTCCTGTGCCTGTTCGTTCGTTCTTTCCTTCCTTCCTTCCTTCCTTCCTTCCTTCTTTCTCTTTCTTTCTTTCTTTCTTTCTTTCTTTCTTTTCTCCTTTCAGAGCAGCAAGATTGGAGAAAGGGATTGCAGAAAAGTTAGCTGTTTGCTCTTCTCAAAAGCAGTGCAATTCAGCCAGCAGCCTGGGACTGGGAGCCATAGGCATGCTATGCAAACAGCTTTCAGTGCTGCCTTGCAATCCTTTTGTCTCTAATCTCTCTGTTCTGTGGGGGGAGGTAGAGCCATTTCTCTAGTCAATCTCTGTTTTGCCTGACACACACACACAAACCCAGAGTACAGAATTTGGAGAAGAGAGAAAGACATTTCTAGAGAGTAAGATGTTTCTTCTACACATGAAAATCGTGCTGGCAGTGAGAAAGTCAGGCAAAAGGAGAGAAATCGCTTCCTTTTTTCCCTCTTGCTGCTATCCAGAGCGGAGAGATCGGAGACCAAGGTATTTCAAAAAAGTAAGAGGCTATTTGGGTAGTATGGCAATGGCTTCCAACCCCAGGTTGTGGCATGACTGGCACTGGAGCATTCCAAAGGTGGAGAGGAGTTAAGAGGCAAACAAAAGCAGAAGATGTGAAACTGATTAGTCTTGTCTCCTTCCATCCAAATGCACAATGGCAAGTCACATGATTTCCCACTTAGTGACCGCTTTGCTTAGTGACAGAGTTGCTGGTCCCATTAGGGTTGTTAAGCAAGAACTACCTGTATCGACATGAACTTAATAACTCAAAGAAAACAATGTCTTTTTTTTACTCTTACATCTTCTATGAATCAGTTGGTGTAAGTGTAAGAGTGTCTTGAATTATCTACAGCTGATTTACATTTTCTGTGTATAAAATGTTTATTCCATTTTTTTGTATCAGTGCTATTTCAATGTCTTTAGTTTTTCTAATATATAGTTTTGCTTGAATTGTTGATGCCGTGTTTCTCCGAAAGTAAGACCTACCCCCAAAATAAGCCCTAGTTTTGGGGCGAGGCACACGCCTAAAAATCAAGCACCCGCTTATCGTTGCAGCCCGGCTTCCCATGAATTGACACCTGCCTCACCGGCCCACTTCTGCGATGCTCACCAGCCTGCATTTTACCATCAGGAAATGCCTCTGCAGTTGAGAATGGAGCTCTGGATTACCCCCAGCCTGTATTTTGCCATCAGAGGCCGTCCGGAAAGGCCTCTGCAGCCGAGAACCAAGTTACAGATTCAATCCGTAGCTCAGTTCTCGGCTGCAGAGGCCGTTTGGGAGGCCTCTGATGGCGAAATGCAGGCCGGGGGGATGCCGCACATGTCAATCTGGAGCTACATTCTCAGCTGCAGAGGCATTTCCTTCGGCCACAGAAGAAGTGAGCTGGCTGTACAGGGTTGTCTTATTTTCGGGGAAACACGGTAATATATTTTTATAGTTTTTGTTTTGTTTCTACTTGCATCTTGTAAGAAACTCATTGACAGTTCTAGTTTTTATGGAAATCATTTTGCATTAACTGGGCAAAATGCTCCCTTTCTAAAAATGTGTTCTGTTTGATATCTTGCTTAGCAAATTAAACTTAACTGGTTTTTTTTTTGTAAAAAAAAATAAGGCGTGGTTTAATAAAGAAAAAAGAATCCCCTTGAATTCCGGATTAACGTTCTTAGAGTCTTAATTCAACTGTTTTTAAACAGCACACAGACACTGAAACAGAATGTGAAACCACTAGCCTGATTAGCTTGACTTGTTCAACAAGTGATATAGATGCGATATCAGAATTTAGCACTGGCGCTGCTTCTTCTGTTAGTAAAGCATCAGGTAAGTAAATAAATATACTTTATTTAGTTCTTTGAGATATGAAAATATATTTCTATTTGATTACTTTGGAGATTTAAGCATACAATCTTCATGTCTATGTAGAAAAATGATAGAAAACGTGGTCTTTAACCCTAAGAATAATTGGGGGGGTGAATCCAAATAAATTATACAGAAACAATTTATTGATTGCCCTACTGGAAATTCCTGTAGATTGCAGAAGACTCCAAGGAAGTCTTCTTGAGCAGTATTTCCCATTTAGAACTCTCTCAGTAGATTTAGGTATACAATTCAAAGTATGGTCGATCTATCTAGAGATGAAGGAAGATGTATTCCAACCCATTTGGAAGGCATGTGAACACTGCTTGGACAAGTCAGTTTTATGGCTCATCTAGTGCTAAAGCAAATACCAGGGAGAAGATTGAATCATAGGTTTTATAGGTCATGCTGCCACCTGAAGGTGTAATCTATGACACTTCCACCAGCTGCCCCAAAATGTGCTTTTTCATGAAGGTTTATTTAATATGCATTGATAAATTATGCAGGCTGTCCAATAGGATTAAAAGGGCAGTATAAGAATATATGGAAATCGTCTTATTATTACTGTAGAAGTTCTAACAATATAATCTGGAAGACCATCAACACTATGTAATCTTCCTTTTAACTGCGTATGTTGAATAAATTAGAATCTATTCTAGGTCTAAAAGTAAATCTATATGGGTAAATATAATGCAGGGAAAATTAAATCTGAATCCTCAAACCTGAGAGTTTCATCTTTCTAGTATCATGCTTGTGGTTGGGGGATTTCTCTACCAATTAGGTATTATGGGATCCTGGAGTTTTAAAATGTTTATTTAACTGTTAAAACTGGCGAGTTGAAATTTTCCGTTTGATGCAGGTATGTAGAGATTATTGGGAAGCATATTCAATTTGTGGGTTGTCAAGACATACGTTATGTTGAATTAGATTTAGTGCTGACTGTCTAATCTGTTTTGTATAATCTAGAACAAATACAATGAAAGGCTGCTAGCTTGATGTTTTTAACATGATGGCTACAAACAGAGCACAAAGAATTGCATTTTGGACTTAATCTGGAGTTAGTGATAGAATGAATATCAGCAATATTTTTAAGACACATATAAAAAATGGCAAAACAGTTCACTGAAAACATTAACTGAGCTTCATAGTTTTTCTTTTATGTGTCACATATGCATCATACCCCAAACAATTCTTATGGTTCCTTCTAGGTTTTTAGAAGCATGATCGAGAGAATATTTTCTTAGTAACTATATTCAATCTAAACAAAGGGACTTTGTCTTTAAACAGAGATAGTGAAGGCAGTGTGATACAGTGTGGTAGATTGCTGCTATTAATGGATTTAATTAAATACATACATTGAAAATAAAACATGATCAATAAGAAATATGAATAGCTTGCAATCTTCATTGCTAGATTTTGGAAAAGATGGGAAACGATGCGACAGTCCCATTGAGATTTTATAATATGTTTCTGTAAGATATTGCTAGCTCTTAATTTGTTATATCTGTGTTCAGCCTTTCATTCAAAAGTATAAAGTATAATGTTACCTCCTCCTGTTTTTTACCGTTGTCACCACCACCACCACACTGTGAGGTACTTTGAACTGTAAGAGTAATCCATTGATTCCATGGTTGAAGATGGACTAGAACTTGGATCTCTCCATGCTTAGTCTTATTAACTACTAAATGGCAATAGCTCTCAGTGTGATTAAAATATATGCTATAAAGTACGAAAAATGTATGTTCAAACTATTTATGGTAGAGGTTAAATGTATACATCAAAAAAAATCATGAGTCTTAATAGCTTAACTTGCTGAGTTAGGCACTAGGATACCTTCCAGATGTTTTGAACTAAAATTCAGTTATTTCTGGTCTTGGATGGGGTAGCACTTCCTTTTCAAGACTGATATGCTATCTGGAAGTTGTCTTGGATTCTCAGCATATTCCTTCTGTATGTAAATTAATTTATGTATGTATGTATGTATGTATGTATGTATGTATGTATGTATGTATGTATGTGTTATAATCCGTATATTATAAAAGCTGTGGACAGGTATAATTTTGATACATTATTCATGTGATTTATGTCTTGTCCAATAGAACTCTGCAATTTCAAATACGAGTTCCTAAGGTGGAACAGATGCTAATTTTATAGTGCCTTTTATACTGTGGGTGCAGACGCAAGAAAGAATTACTGCTTTTCCTCCTACGGATCTTGCAGTTGAATGCTCATATTTCATTGATGAAATATTTCCTTTGTTTTATGTATATTAAATGATTATTTGTAGCTATTTTTTATTTTTGTAGCTATTTTTATTTTTGAAGAATAAATATTTCTGTTCCTTACTTTTAACCAATTAAACTCTATAGTTCAGTTTAATTGGTAATATGTGAGCTGTGGCTTCAAGTGAAGCCATGTAGGCTTAATTATTTGTGTTAATCTTTAAAGATTATGTATGCCCCTTTGTTATCCTTCTTGTTAGGCTGAAAAATTAAACCAGTGGAGGGGTGCTAATGTTCTCCTTTTAAAACAGGCGTGGCTTATTAATTCTGTAGCTTTTTTCAGTCTGGATCCACTGTAGAAATGTTAACTTTCTTTACCTTATGGAACTCTTTTTGTAGCAAAGTCTGGCTGGTCTGGATCAGTGGACGGTGGTTCATATTTACGGGGGAAAAAGAAAGAGGATCTGAGCTTGTCCATGCCGATGACTCTGGCTTTCTGTTCTCTGGCATTACTATGGCTGAGAGAATCCATTACGTTATCTGATCTTTTAAGGTAATAAAAATAATGTCTAATAAAATATTTGAGTTATAATCCTACTTCTACATTGAATTTACAGTGTAATGCATCTGGTAGAAAAAGGTTATCATTAGTTGCACCGAGTAAAACATGTCACTTTTTATTCAGCTGTGAATTAGTAGATTTACTGTACATATTTAAAATACCCCATTGATTGCTATGTGCTATTCCAATATAATAATAATAATAACAACAACAACAATAATAATAATAATAACAATAATAATAATAAAGTTGGAAGGAACCTTGGAGGTCATCGAGTCCAACCCCCTGCTCAGGCAGGAAACCCTACACCATTTCAGACAAATGGCTGTCCAGTCTCTTCTTAAAAACTTCCAGTGTTGGAACATTCACCGCTTCTGGAGGCAGGTTGTTCCATTGGTTAATTGTTCTAACTGTCAAAATAGTTTGAACTAATTAAAAAATGTAGTACCGGTCATTAATTACAAACCCAAAACAGTACAAAAGTGTCTTAATTTGTTTTTGAAAAGGGGTTATTCAACAAATACTGTGAACTAATTCACATTTCTGCATTGATCTGTCTCCAAATGGTCCAGTCCATGCTGCATGAAACATGCCTACTATATTGGCATGTAGAGTTATCTTAGCTAGAAGAATTCAGCCGGAAAGACTAATGCTGATAAATTAAGACACTTTAATATAATATTTAGCATGGCTTAGAGATGTCAGAAATGAGCACATCTTTAAAAAGTTTATAACTAACGTGTATTGATTTTACTTTACTCTCCTTAACCCAGGTTGGCAATGGATGGTCACATTCCTTACTTGAATGCTTTTAAAGATTTCCCCGATGAGATGAAGATGTATGGATCTGACTTTAAGATCTTTCATGTGCAGGTGACTATTACTGATATGTAGAATTATGAATATTTGCTAGGACTCTACTGCATTTCGGATTCAATTTCTAGACAGCATTTCAGAGTACACGGGGGTATGTGTTTCATAGGTTAAAATAGCTGGTTTGAGATTGAATTACAAGTGCTGCATAGTTAGTTGTCTTTTTAACAGGTTAGGTAAAGAGCCCTGGTGGCGCAATGGTTAGAATGCAGCATTGCAGGCTGCCTTTGCCGACTGCCAGGCTCAAGGTTGACTCAGCCTTCCAAGGTCGGTAAAATAAGGACCCAGATTTTGAGGGGCAATATGATTCCGTAAACCACTTAGAGAGGGCTGTAAAACACTATGAAGCGCTATGTAAGTCTGAGTGCTATTGTTATTAGGGTACTTGGCAGCTGGGATGTATTTACAGCCATTTGCAATGCCCCACAGTCTCATGACCACGATTTATGATAGTTTTGCCAGAGGCTGGCGTTTACTTCTGCTTTCTGGCAAAAAAAACGGCCTACAGCAAACAAAGATTAATGACCATGACATTCATTTTACGACTGCCACAAAAAAGGTAATAAAATTTGATCTGGTCATTTGATGACCCGCTTTACAACTGTCACAAATTATGACTGTAGTTGCCATGTTCAGTTACGGTCATAACTCGAGGAGTACCTGCAGTTAATACATGTGGTTCAGTAGGTATTTTTTACTGGTCATGCAGTTTTGTTAAATAACGATAATCTTTCATTGTTCTTCTATGTGCATTATTTGTATTAGTTTTTTATATATCCAACTAATACTGAAGTTTATACTGGTTACATAACAGAATAACAGAGTTGGAAGGACCTTGGAGATCTTCTAATCCAACCCCCTACTCAAGCAGGAAACCCTATACCAGGGATAGGCAACATTGGCTCTTTTATGACTCGTGGACTTCAACTCCCAGAATTCCTGAGCCAGCCATGCTGAGGAGAAATGGAGGTTTTCATGCTGAGCCATGCTGGCTCAGGAATTCTGGGAATTGAAGTCCACGAGTCATAAAAGAGCCAAGGTTGCCTACCCCTGCCCTATACCATTCAGACAAATGGCCGTCCAATCTCTTCTTAAAAACCTCCAGTGATGGAGCACCCACAATTTCTGAAGCGAAGCCATTCCACTGGTTAATTGTTCTCACTGTCAAGAAATTTATCCTTAGTTCTAGGTTTTTTCTCTCCTTGATTAGTTTCTATCCTTTGTTTCTTGTCCTGCCCTCTGGTATTTTGGAAAATAGATTGACCCCCTCATCTTTGTGGCAGCCCTTCAAATACTGGAACACTGTTGTCATGTCACCCCTAGGCCTTCTTTTCACTAGACTAGACATACCCAATTCCTGCAATTGTTCTTCATTTGTTTTAGCCTCCAGCCCCCTGATCATCTTTGTTGCTCTTCTCTGCACTCTTTCCAGAGTCTCAACATCTTTTTTATATTGTGATGACCAAAATTGGATGCAATATTCCAAATATGGTCTTACCAAGACATTATAAAGTGGTACTAACACTTGATATTGATTCTATCCCTATGTTAATAAAGCCTAGGATTGCATTGGCTTTCTTGGTGGCTGCAGCACACTGCTGGCTCGTATTTAAATGATTTTGTCTGTTAAGATTCCTGGTTTCTCGCAGTTGCTGCTGTTGAGTCAGGTATATATAAATCAGTATGTGTTGTAATTTATATACTAAAAACAAGGCAGGAGATGAAATTTCACCACAAAAGAAGATTTATTGTGAAATCTCTGCATCAAAATCAAATTTGCATCATCATCTTTTAAGGCGAAGGAAATGAATCCAATGAATCCAATAGAACCTTGCCAGGCTGAAGGAACTTAAATTGCAAAATGCAAATAATACAGAAAATAATCCAAAAAAGTGATTATGGTCAAGCCTAGTATCCATAAAGGCTACTTTGCAATTTGTAATTTGGAAATTGGTATAACTCTCAGTCACTCTACTCAAGCCAACTGTAAAAACTGTTTCTGTGGTCTACTCATGAGGAGCGGATGTCCAGAATAATATGGACAATCTCAGCGATCTTTCCCTGTTCTGGAGCTATTACACCAACTTGGATCCAGCACCCAGGGGCTATTCCATTTGCAAAACTGTATGACTAACCAACAAAAGCCAGGAAAGCAAAGATGGCATAGTGGTTAGAATGCAGTACTACAGGCTAACTCTGCCGACTACCAGGAGTTCAATCCTGACTGGCTCAAGATTAACTCAGCCTTCCATCCTTCTGAGGTTGGGAAAATGAGAAGCCAGATTTTGGGGGGCAATATGATGACATTTGTAAACTGCTTAGAGACTGCTATAAAGCACTGTGAAGCGGCATATAAGTCTAAGTGCTATTGCTAAGTGTTCTTGCCATGGTGCATACAAGAAGTTGATTTATTAAAACATTGTGTGGTTTTTGTAAAACTACAGGTAGTCCTTTTTTCAGTTGAGCCTGGCAACTCAAGTCATTAAGCAAAGCAGTCATTAAATGAAATTGCTGCTGTACTCATGATCTTACTCCAACTTTGCTCTACAGGTAGTCCTCAACTTACAACCATTCATTTAGCAATTGTCTGAAAAAAATGACTTACTCTTCACACTTACGACTGTTGCAGCATCCTCACAATCATGTGACTATGACACAGCATCCTAGGGTTACACGATCACCATTTGCAACTTTCCCAGCCAGTTTTCAACAAGCAAAGTCAATGGGGAAGCCAACAGGAAAGGTTGCGAATCATGATCATGTGATGTCTTGTATAATGACTGCTGCAAAAAAGGTTGTAGAACATAATACCTCATTTAATGACTGCACTGCTTAATGATGAATTTTCTGGTCCCAGTTGTGGTTGGAAGTTGAGGAGTACTTGTACAGACTTCTGAAGTTCGTAAATGCAAAGATTGGCTAGTTTCATTTTCATCATCATAACTGCAAATGGTTGCTAAGCGAGGCAGTTGCTTAACAAGGACTATATGTACAACATTCTGCCCATCAATCCTTCAACAAAATAATTAGCTGAGCCTGTACAGACTATGCCTAGTTTCCATCCACATTTCTTTGCTTCCAGTAAAGCACCATCTCATTTATTTATTTTTATAAGAATTCTATAACTGCCTCAACCTACCATTCTTCTTCCCTGTCTGTCAGAATCATTTTGTGTCACAGATCCTTACGCTCACTTCTAGAACTGAATTCTGAGAAAAAGAATTGTTTGAAAAGTATAAGAAAATACACACACACACCCAAAAAAAGTCGACTCTTTTGCACAACCTATTTCATTCCTTCCAGAATTGAATCTCCCCATCCAATGAAAGCATCTTGGAAAGAGTTGTCAAGATCCGCCCCATTGAAAGTTTGTTTGTTTGTGTATCAAATTTATACGGTTGCCTATCTCACCAGAAGTGACTCAGCATGGATAACATAATACACTATTTCTGGGACAAGCTCCAGCTTTGGCACTCTGTAGCTCTAAAGATTCATTAAGCTGCTTTTCCCATAGTATTTGACATTCCACTGGAACCTCAAACTTGACATTGACCCCTGGCGGTGTGTGTGTGTGTGTGTATTGATTTTTTTACTTTTTAATGTGTAATTCTTAATGTGTTATAATCCATCTAGAGCAGACATGTCAAACACAAGGCCCGGGGCCCAGATGCGGCCCGCAAAGTGGTTTCATGTGGCCCACGAAGCCATCCTGGAAACAGTGAGGGAACAGCCCCCTCTGCCTTGGCCCTGGCTGGGAGCCAATGTACAATTTTATGGTGGCCATCTATGCTGAAACGCATTCAGTCTTAGCTCCATAAGCCCCCCCCCCCCCCGCATGGCCTGAGAGGAACAGTGAGGCCCCTCCAGTGGACCATGTCTTGGCACTTGCCCTGATCCCACCCCCTTCTGCCAGAGACCCTCAGATCTATCCCACTCCTGCCCAGGCCCCCACAGGCACCCTTGACGCGAACGATGTAGAGCTTGCCACATCCACCCAGTAGGCCATACCCACTCCATCCACGCCCACCCAGTAGGCCGCAGTACTGATGCGGCCCTCAATGAAATTGAGTTTGACACCCCTGATCTAGAGTCTTTTGATTTTGGTGGGCTATAAAAATGGTCAGATCATAGGCCCATATTAGAGTCCAATTTGTCAGCATCTACCTGAGATTTTTGCAAGCGCCTTCCCCAGCTCCAAGTCAATCGTATTTAGCAAGTTGGTCAATAGAGCATGATTACCATCTCTATATGAGGTGGCTATATAGAGATAATAAACAGGATGTTCCGGATGTAGGTGTTTGTCATTTTAAATGTGTATATTTCTGTCTAACAGGCTATTTTGTGCTCATTTTAATGAGATGATTATACTTTTTTTTTTTTTTTGAGGCTGTCTACATTTTGGCCAGTGCTATTTTCTTGTAATGCCTATACGAGCTAGCAAGTCGAATCATCAGAATTGTGGGTTTTTTTTCTCCTTTCATGCTGTCTAATAACTTTCTAGTTGGTCCAATTAATATTTTGGAACGTGAAGCCCTTTTTGTTTATGTGTGTTTTCAAAACTTCTATTGTTGTATTTCAGAAATATAATCCAGGCGTAAAAGGAAAGACCCTTTATCTTCTAATATTTATAATCAGGAAATCAGAAGGTGGGCAGGTAGCCTTTCATTTTCTCTCCCTTGAAACAACTTCAAAAATGACAGTAAGCAAGGGTGAGGCTCTTTAAAAAGAGCTGAGAAGGAAGTTCACTTCTGACATTTATTTTAATCAGGTTTATCATTGGAATCTGCTGTTGTGTAACAGAAACTCTGGCTTGTCCTTACCTGTTGAAGCATTGCTTAATAGAGAAGGAAAATGGGTTGACTGAGATGTGTGTCCTTTAATATCTATCTTTGTGTCTCTGAAGGAGGGACGCTGCATTATTGCCTTAAACTTTTGTGGCTTCCTAGGCTTCCTAATGTATTTGCTAGTTAAATCACTTTAATCCAAGCTTGTCAATAGCA